ATTTAGGGGAGAGTTTACAGTGGACTAACATGCTGGGATTGGATGATTAATTGTTTTTGAGGGCATCGCTTGTCCGAGAGGCTCCTCTGCAGCGTCACCCCGTCACCTCCTCGCCTCCAACTCCTGCTCTACTGCATTCGAGAGTCTGTTTTGCCCCTCACAGCTGCCTGCACCATGACTGCGTTTGACTTCACGGACGTAGAGGCGTTTCTGGACTGCCACCCGGATCTGTTCGAGGAGTATCTGGTCCGGCGGGCGAAATGCGACCAGGTGAGCAGGTGGCTGAAGGAGCACCAGCCGGCCAAAGCGTCCGCGGCCGAGGAGAAGCGCGGCGCGGCCGTGGATCCCTTCTGGCCAAGCGGCGCCGACGGGCTCCGGCGCAGGTCCTCTCACATGGAGCTGCGGCGGAACTTCGCCCGCTCCAAAGCCACCACCGCGCACCGCACCTACGACGAGCACGTGAGCCTGAGCGAGCACGAGTCCCAGTCCAGCATGAGGCGCCGCGCGCTCCTGCGTAAAGCCAGCTCGCTGCCTCCGACCACGGCGCACATCCTGAGCGCGCTGCTGGAGTCCAGAGTCAACGTGCCCCAGTACGCGTCCAGCGCCATCGACTACAAGTACAGACTCAGAGAAACCAACGAGAGGGAGTTCTTCTTAGAGCTGGTAAAAGATATTTCGAACGACCTGGACTTGACCAACCTGAGTTACAAGATTCTGATCAACGTGTGCATACTGGTGGATGCAGACAGGTGCTCACTGTTCCTCGTTGAGGGACCTGCCAACAAGAGGACACTGGTGTCCAAATTCTTCGATGTGCACTCTGGCACCACGGTCAGACCGTCATCCAGCACTCTGAACTCCAACGAAGTTCAAGTGCCATGGGGGAAAGGTATAATTGGTTATGTGGCAGAGCATGGAGAGACTGTAAACATTTCAAACGCATATGAGGTAAATGGTTACAACGTTTATTTTCTAAATATAATAATGAGCTTGTTTTGAGTAATTTGAAGAATAGATTAGAGTTGTATATGCACATCCCCACAACAGAAAAGAGTGAACAGCTCTCTTGTATTAGTCAGCGGTTTCACTCGTTCCATATCTAAAACTTTGGTACACATGGGACCTTTTAGTTATGCTGCAAGTGCCTAACCCAAAGAAGCCATCGAGAAATGGAGAAAAGCAAACGATACAATCATTTTAGTCTCCCACTGCCCAGATCCTCATCATTATCTCATGGCCCTGGGCCGCTAAGGTGGCAACATGGGGATATGGATCCCCTGTGGACCTCTACCGCCATAGTATAGATAGTATAGATATGCACCAGCCAGGGGTAAATGCTGGCTCTAGCAGTGTTAGTCAGTGGTAAGCTTCCTTAACTGTGTTTGTAAAGTCCAAATGTGGAGATGTGGCCCAGGCGAAGCTTTTGCCCCCCGAATGGTGTAGACTTGTCCGTGTTGAATGTGGAATTAAATCCAGATAATATAACAGTGTAACATCTCTTTACATAACTTCCAGGACCACCGCTTCAGTGATGAGATAGACAAGTTAACCGGCTACAAGACGCAGACCATCCTCTGCATGGCCATCTGCAACAGTGATGGGGAGGTCATAGGCGTTGTCCAAGCAATTAATAAAAATCCAATGGGCACCCCTTTTTCTGAGGATGATGAAAAGGTGAAGCTACACACGCAAAACGTTCAAGACTTCTCTTTTAAAAAATCATCTGTAATCGTACTGTGCTATAGGGGGCATTTTAAAGAGGGTGTTAAAATTGGATTGGAGCATTGCGTGCCCTCACAGCCATCACCACACGTGCACGCGCACACGCATACACGTAGTTTTATTGCGGAGCTGCCTGAGCCATGCAATTGAGATCTTTTCGCACTCTGAATCTTCTTAATGGCTGTGGAGAGGAGCAAAGTGTTCCCTTTGAAGAAAAATACGAGAGAAATGAAGCGATAAGGTCAAACTTTTACTCAAGCGCAGCATATTAAATATGTGTGCTGTGCATATTTACACACCCTTAAGAAACAAAGTTTGAATTAATGCCCCAGCCTTTTCTGCCTGAGCAATCCAAATGAAATGGGTCTCTTGAATGTCCATTTATTGCAGCTTCCTTTGCTGCTCCACAGTTTACAAAAGCAATTTCGTTTTCTGTTTGTTGATGAGCTGAAATACATTTTGGGCATTTTGCTGATTTGAAAAACGTTGGCTTCTTGTGTAGATGAGAAGTCAGGCGACTAGAGACGAATCCTCCTTATGTATAATGAAAGCAAAAAAGGTTATCCATAAAGAAAAGCGGGGCAGATTCTTGCATGCTTGTAAATTGGAAATGTTTCAAAGTCCGGCAGCAGAGAGTAGCAAAACAAGGTTTGTCCACAAGGTAGCAGTGTGAAGTTCTGGAGATTTAGTTCTCTGCATATATTGTTGGCAGGGCCTTTCTTGGGGATGTGATCTTGTTTTCCATAATAGTTGAATTTGACTTTTGACAAACAAAACTACATTTAGCTGAAGTTAATTAAATATAAAGCGACTTTTGAAAAAAAGTGAAAGCTAACAAAATAATTCTGCTGGTTTATGTAGACATTTGAAGTCCTTTCGTGTCTGAGGTTGTCTTCACTAAATCAATACTTCATTAACAGAAAATCTATCTAGGAGAAAACTTGTGCTGAGAAGTGCCTGACTCAATCACAACTTTCTATCTATGTCAGCCCCTCCTACCCAAAGCTGTCCATCCTTAACCCTGCACCACCACCATCACCAACAATCCCACATAGATTGATGCTATTTAAATAAATATCATTTAAAAAAGTTTTATACATTTCTTTCACCACTTTTCTCTTGCAGGTGCTGCAGATGTACCTGCCCTTCTGTGGAATATCAATTTCCAATGCCAAGCTGTTTTCAGAGTCTCGCAAGGAGTATGAGAGGAGTAGGGTGAGAAGTTACGAAATGTTCCTTTTTACAAGATGCCTTATCCTTGTAAAAGACTTTTGGTATGGTGTACAAAAAACAACTTGTACAAAATATTTGCCAGCTGGGTAAATTGTCAATCAAAACCAAATACAGTTCAATGTTTTATTTTCACAATAGAACATGGAAAACATATTAAATGTTTCAAGTAAAACATTTTACTGATTCATAAAAAATATTTACTTGTTTTGATGGAATTCCACTTTTTAAAATGCGGTGGCAGGGCTGCATTTACAGCTATACCCTCATCTTCTAGTGACAGCCTGTGTAATTTGTGAACTGAGGAGACCAGTTGCTTAACCTTTGGGAGAGGAATGTGGTCTCAGTCTTGTAGAGTACTGTAATTTTCCAATGTCCAAATGTCAAAAATATGGGCACAATATTATAATTCCCATTTCCTGTGGTTTGGCTTATAAATGGACCCCAAGACACATATTTATATATTTGGATGTCTGAAACACTATGTTCCCAAGTAGTCAAATGGACAAACTAAGGGTAAAATAGCAGTAGCTTTGTGGGTACCACCCCAGAGACAAGTCTTAGGACCATCAAAGTACAATTAGGTGCTTTCTTTTCTGAGAGTGAACAGTCCTGGGCCCACAAACTCTCTGTTCAACTTTTTTTTCCTTCTAATTGGTGAGACTTTGGAGTCATAGTATTTGAATAGATGGAGAATAGGACGTAGCATTGTCTTGTTGAAATATACACAATGATGCCTAAAAAAGATGTCACCTGAAAAAGGGCATATGTTGTTCTAAAACATGTAGTGTATATTCTTAAAGCATCAAAGGTATATTCCAGATTTACATGTTCAGTAGTCAACAGTGAACATGTCAGTGGACTGACATTGCATGGCATTCTACACATAATACAGATCTTCTGTTAGTATAATGTGCATATCCCAGAGTGTTCATTACTGTTTCTGCAGGCTTTGTTAGAGGTGGTTAACGACCTTTTTGAGGAGCAAACTGACCTGGAGAAGATTGTCAGGAAGATTATGCAGCGAGCACTAACACTTCTGCAATGTGAACGCTGCTCCGTGCTTCTTCTGGAGGACATTGACTCGCCTGTGAGACTTTTTCTGTTACTGCTCATCAATTTTTAAACCTTTACACAGTCGTCTGTGTGAGATGAAACCGTATGGCATTTGTTTGAACTTTTCATCATTACCGTTATACAGATGTTGTAGGTTATTGTGATGCAATGACTTTTCAACAGGTTGTGAAGTTCTCCAAGACGTTTGAACTCATGTCTCCCTTGTGCAACATCGATCGAGACATTAGGTGAGACTTCTACCAGACAGTCAGTGGAGAAATATGGATGTGATAAGCATTGCACAAGGTCACAAGCTGCTAAGAGAATAAAAAAAAGTCTTGTGATGCTAGAATTATAAAATTCCCCAATCATTCCTATTTCCTGTGTTCACTGAAAATGGTTTATTTTTGTGTTATTGGCTACATCAGCATGGAGAAGTTATCCTGCTCCGACTGGCTGATCAATAACAGCATTGCTGAGCTGGTGGCTTCCACTGGACTTCCTGTTAACATCAGTGATGTGTGTCAGGACCCACGCTTTGATACTGAGGTGTGGACACAGCGCTGTCATTTCTTTGTCAGAACTTTGTCAAATTTAAACTTTAAGATATAACGATATAATATATGAAACATGAATTTCCCACCCCAATCATCTGATTCTTCATTTAAAGGCAGATCAGGCCTCAGGTTTTCACATCAGATCGGTCTTATGTGTTCCTATCTGGAATCGAACTCATCAAATAATTGGTATGCTGGTCAGAAATTGTTGATTTTATGTTACTTCAGTCCTGTCTTCATGCAGCTGTCAAATATTGATGTTTTTTTTTTCAGGTGTGGCACAAATTCTGAACCGCCTTGACAGGAAGACGTTCAATGATGCCGATCAGAGACTGTTTGAGGTCAGCTACTCAAAGTTCTGATGACAGCTGGTTTGTATAGGGTTGCAGATGATTACTGACTGTCAAAATCCTATTCTTTTTGTGCAGGCCTTTGTTATCTTCTGTGGGCTCGGTATTAACAATACAATGATGTACAATCAAGTTAAGAAGACTTGGGCCAAACAGTCGGTAGCACTGGATGTAAGCAAATTAATCCTAATCCCATCCCACCTGCTATGCTATTACTGTGGAGTGTTTAATGTTTAGATTTTCTTTTCAATTCTAACATTATATCTACACATAACAGTATCAATCTGATGATTGAACGATGATAACGATGAGCGTATAAATCTGTTGGCAGCATATGAATGAGATGACTGTGGTGCCACTAATTAATGCTAATCTTCACCTAGGCTCCTCGCATTCATTTGCTTCTCCCACCGTGTTCTGCTTCGCTGCCCGGTGTCTAACCTGAACAGTCACACATTATCCTCAGAAAACATGATTCTGCTTCTCTACAGATAAATATTTCAGCTGCTTTCAATAATTCATAATACATGTAGCAGTGTGCTCACCTCTCATCAAAGGCAACACACCGCTTTATTTCTGTCACATAATCTTTGCTGCTACTGTAATTACCTGGTGGATTTTTTTTTTTCCTTTTGTTGTTTTTCTCTTTGTTAGGTGACGCAGAGTGTTGCGATGTCGCAATGCAACAAACTGGTATTAAAGGCTGCCTTACCTGGCTGTCCGCTAAGACCATTGTCTTTCAGCGTGGCATATGCGGCTGAACCAGCTGTATACGTCTCACTGTTATATATAAGATTATTTCTCTTTTTCAGATGTTGTCTTATCATGCCACCTGCTCCAAAGTAGAAGTGGACAGACTCAAGGTAACGTGCAAATTCTAATAAACACGGTGTCTGCTGAGTGCTCATCCTGACATCGTTCCCTGCCACTGAATGACTGATAGCTCTGTTGTCCCCCCCCCCAAGGCTGCCAAGATCCCTCTGAGCGTCGAGCTCGGCATAGATGAGTTCTATTTCAACGACTTCTCACTGGACAATGATGCCATGATCACAGCATCCCTCAGGATGTTTCTGGAACTTGGTGTTGTCCAAAAGTTTAAAATCGACTATGAGGTGAAATGCTTGAATGTCTCTCATAAGACGTGTCTCTACCAGTTCTGCAGAGGTGTACATGGGTGTGCCATCTGCGCTTGTGTCTGCTCAGGTTTTATGCCGTTGGCTCCTGACTGTGAGGAAAAACTATCGAACTGTGGCGTATCACAACTGGAGGCATGCATTCAACGTGTCACAGTGCATGTTTGTTATGATCACAGTAAGTTTTGAGATTCAAGTTTGAGTGAAATCAGATTTATTTGTTTTGTCTTCGATACAAGTCTTGGTCAAATTATTATTGTCTGATGCAGAAACTCTCATCTACAAATCAGTATAATTGTATGTATTAGTCCAGCAATTACTGTATTGTCAGACCTATGTTTTAACATAAGATAGGAAAGAATGCCTTGCAGATGGTGGTAAACACTAGGACATTTTGTACCCTGCTCATAAATAAAATTGACCAGGGAGACGGATCAGCACAAAATATTCTATGCAGGTTACTTGAAAATAAGCCCTGAGCTTTATTTGACTGTCAATTTTCTCTTGGACAGACAGCAAGTTTCCAAGATGTTCTATCAGACGCTGAGATGCTTGCACTGATGGTCGGCTGTTTGTGCCACGACTTAGACCACAGAGGCACCAACAACGCATTTCAAGCTAAGTGAGTGACAGAAACATGGGTTACAACGGACGGTAGTCCTGTTGGAACCAGTAAGAGTCATTGCTCTGTTGTTACTGCAGGACCGGCTCTGCTCTGTCTCTACTTTATGGAACTTCAGCAACCCTAGAGCATCATCACTTCAACCATGCAGTCATGATCCTACAGAGCGAGGTTAGACAAGTATTGATTCATATAACCAATATGGTAGAGAATCAAATGTTTATTTGTGGGGTTGAGAAAAACATACAAATACTCATTTAATATATTTTAACATAAAAAAATCATATAGGCCTACTAAGAAAAACATGCAGAATATTTGAAGTGTAATGGAGTGTCTGTTGTAACATTCAGATTTTCAGAAAGCTTTCTTTCCCAACATTCGACCTTTGTAAGATGTTTTAAAAGAAAAAATAAAATTGGAAAAAGTGATGAGATGGTGATGTAATTTTTATGTAATATATTCTTTAATTTAAATTGAATTAATAGTCAATTAAATAAGCCCATAATTGACAGGATAATTAATGTTATGTATTGAGTTTTGATAAATTCTTTTATAGATAACCTTTGTGGATAAAACTGTCAATTTGACAAGAATAATGTAGGTGTCCAGTTGAAGGGCATTTTAATATTCATGCCATTCATAACGTACCTCAAACCAGTTCTGCCAGCATACAATATCTATCAGCAACAACTGTTTATATAGAAACTCTTCGTATAGACTGCATATCAAGAATTTAATAATGGAAACAAAACGAATGTGCGTGTAAACATAAATTATGTATGTGCTCACGGATCAAAACTTAACATTTATAGCAGTGGGGAGCAGAGTAAGAAAAAACTGCAGTGCATTGTTTTATATTCTGTCATGAGATTAGTCTGATATGACAACAACATAGTTTAACTGGTTAAAGCCACACATTCTTCCAATCCAAAGGCAGACTGATAATGAGTTAGGGCTCAGCCTGGAGCCTAACACATTCAAAATTGTCATCAATTGAACAATTATGATTCTACTTGGTTAAGAAATGCACATAGTAATAAAAACAGGATTCTGAAAAAGGAAATGGTTACTGTTCATGTTTTGTGCGAGGCTTTGGGTCAGTGCTGTGCGCAAACTGCTGACAGACAACACTGGTAACCACTGGTTTCATCAGGGGATGGGGGGTGCTTTCTCTCAGGTGTGGATCACTTTGATCACTGGCAGTGTTCTTTATTGATTTCTTCTAACAGAAGACAGAGAAAGCCCATTCATATCACTAATTAAAACAACTAATGGCAGCTTCATTTGACAGTGAGCAATGACTTTACCAATGCACTGGATAAGGGGACATTTCAGCTTTTTTTCCCCCCATTGCCTACCTGCTTTGGTTTTTACTCATGCAGTATTGTATTGTGTTTTCTTCTGCAGGGCCACAATATCTTTGCAAACCTCAGCTCTAAAGAGTATAGCAACATGATGCAACTACTGAAACAGGCCATTCTCTCCACAGACCTTACTTTGCACTTTGAGTGAGTAGTCTTTTCAGTACATTTACATCTGAACAGGCAAATTTAACTCTGCTGGACATTGTTTATTTAATATTGTCTTGTAAGTTAACTTTCCTGTCTTTATTATAACCAATATCACACATATTTAAGAAAAGCACTCTAGAGGTGTGTCCCTGGACTCTTTAACATTTTGTATTTTGTTTCATGTTCGACTGCCTTTTTTAATTGAAAGGCGCAGAACCAAATTCTTTGAAAATGTTCTGTCGGGAGAATTCAGCTGGACAGATGAAGGACAAAGAGAAGTTTTCAGGTTATTATGTTTGTGCTACATAATCTGAAATCAGTGGAACTTTGGTGAGAAAAGTGGAGGTAGAAACAAGCTTTAATGTCATCAACAGGTCTATGCTGATGACGGCCTGTGATCTGGGAGCTGTCACTCGTCCCTGGAAGATATCCAAACAGGTTTGAGTCTCTTTTGCTACATCTAGCTACTTCCTACTGCATGGTTTCTCGGTATATGTGTATCTTCCCCCACCGTCCAAAGAAATACATGTTAGGCTGATTGGTGATTTTAAATGTGGGTGTGCTGGTCCGCTGTGTCATTTGTCTCTCTGTGGCCTTGTAATGGACAGTAAGCCTGCCGGTCAACTGACAGTGTATTTTATCCAGTAGAGATAGAAACCTATTACCAAAAGAAGAGTGGTGATTTTATTAAAAAATAAACTGTTTTAATTAAACTGTGTTTTCACGCGAAATGTTCTGTTTGTCTTCTGAAATGTAGCTCATGCTGCGAAATGCTGCTGTTCTTTTCTGGTTAAGGTTTAAGGATTTGGTATCTCTTTTCTAATGTTTTTCAGTTTACATCAGGGCACTTTTATTTTTCTAAAACTAAACAGAGTTGTGAGTCAGCATAATAAAGATAAAAAACCACTTTAATTGTAGTTTTGCTTGCTGCTGGAAGTAAATCTATATTTTGAAGGCACTCTCCAGTAAGTTGTAATGTAAAAATCCTGTGGCATCATAGATATAAAAAAAGAATAATTTTCCACTGATGTTTGCAGGTTGCAGAGCTGGTGACAAGTGAATTCTTTGAACAAGGAGACAGGGAGAGGTCTGAGCTTAAGTTAACCCCAGCAGTAAGTAAGAATGTTTTTTAAGTGATTGTTGTCACTGAGAAGTTTTTTCTGTGCGGACTTAATTGTATGCTAGAAGGGAAAGGTATTTCCTTAATGTAACAGGCTTCTGTCTCATTATTATGATGAATGATCTGATGAGGCGTGACCAAAGGTTTTCTTTCCTCTGTAGGCAATCTTTGACCGTAATCGCAAGGATGAACTACCTGCCTTACAGCTAGAGTGGATTGATGGCATCTGTAAACCCCTTTATCAGGTAGTACCCGTAGATGGTTGAAACTAGTCATTCATATGTTAGTTTGAAAAACCAGAATCGTCATTCGGAAATTTAGAAACTACCCAACTGCTGTGTCTCTCTCCCAGGCACTTCTGAAACTCAACAGAAAGCTGCAGCCAATGATGGACGGGATAGATGCCAATCGAGAGAAGTGGCAGGAGCTCTGTTTGTCCTATCAGCAGACACGCAGAGCCTCGATGTCCAGTCAGAGTACTGAACCAGGTCAGAACGCACAGTTCAGTTACGATGCGGAAACCACTGAACTGTCGGGGTGTTCAGAGAGAGGGAAGCCAGTCAAAACCTCAAGGTTTGGGTCCAAGTCAGAGAGCTGTGACGATCTAAGATGCAGAACCAACAAAGAGTCCTGCAATGACAAATCAGTCCCAGCTGGGAAGATGATGGGAAAGAACTAAGGCAGGATTTAAGGCAGACAGGTGTTTAGCAGGTAGGTCCTTTGAATGGCGAACAGTGAACTAATGAAATGACTGGTGATGTTCTAACCGACCTCTCCAACTGGGTAATTTAAATGCAGACTTCATCAGCAGAGCCTATTCCTCTCCCAAGCATCACTGTGTTTAACTCAGGAGTGGGACAAAATCCCATCAGTCAAACTCTATTTAAAGGACAGTGTCCCCATTTGTATGTGTATATCTGAAAGTACATCATCTCTGGGATGAGAAGACCGCTGAGATCAGAGAGGTCCTCTTTCTAATGTAATGTTTTTAACCCGACTTTCTGAAAGTTAAAAAGCCTATTGGAATGCCTTTTCAGAACAAAAGATTCACTGTGACATTTCACATAAATGATCAATATGAATGTAGACCGGAGCATGATCCTGTTCCTGAATGTTTTAGACTGGCTGTTTTATCAGTTCCAAAATCTTTGGCTGCACGACATTATTTTCAGTGTTTGCCAGTCAACTTCTTCTTTGAATTGCATGTGAGTCTTATCAGTAATACACTTTACTATGTTTTGATGGAGAAAATAGAAAGAAAAATAATTGCTATAAGGCCTAGATTTTGTTAAGGTTATTGAACTCAAACTCTCTGGTCTGTTTATATGTGAATATGTGAGAGTGTGTATGCTATTTTTTCATATCTCTAAAGATATCACAGCTAATCAAATTATTTTGACATTTGACATTACAATAATTGTTTACATCCATTTGTTTATTTCTAACTGAGCAACTCAGTCATTTTTCACCTGAGTAAAACAGACACAGGTGGATTTGTTTCTGTAACTTGAATTCAACATCTGACTGAATTTTTTTTGTTTTATCGAAAGTTAAAGTAAATCATATTCAAAACTCATGCTATTTCAATAAAAGCTCATTGAAAGTTTTGCATAGAAAGGCAGTGTTTTAGAACATTTATTTAAATTGGTTAGTTACCCCAATGAAAGTAAATTCTTTTCTGTAACTCCATATAGCTGGACATTGGTTACGAAATTCCATAACATTGGATGGGAGTGGCAGCACTGAGTGATTGTATTTGAGATAAATGTTGAATAAAAATGATAAGAGCCAATTTTCTAAATTGATTTTCTGACATTTTCAGAGCTGGTCCAAAATCAAGAATACATTGTGCAGTTTGTGTGTACGTAAGCTAGCAAAGGTTGAATGTATCTGTAACTGTTCATGTTAAGGCTAACTTAACTCTTTCATCATAGAAATTACTCTTTCCTGGATATTAGAATTAGCAGAACCTGGAAAGACCTTAATTGCAGAGGAGTAAGGCTCAATTAGAATTTGATGGAAAACAAGCTCGTAGTGTTGTGGTACGAGCAGGATTTTAATCTCTTAAACTAATATCGTACTGGCTTGTTTTCTACCTCTTTATCCAGGACAACATTAAATTCAGCTGCCCACAAAACTATTTTGAACTTCCTCATTCCATTTTACAGAAGCTTTGAGAAGAAGGGAACTGATGTCAATCGTGTTCTGATATGGTTTCTTCTTTGCTGAAAGAGCTTCATTCTTCTTTTATGGATCGCACGGTAAACTGTGTACACTGAAAATGATTTATAAGTCTTCCTGAGCCTATGCAGGGATTTCAAGGATTGAAGAATGACATTTGTTTTCACAGTGCTGTCAGTTGGCTGGGTCTGAAGGCTCCTGAAGGGGAGTGCAGTTGCAGTGTGGCATGGGAGCAAGTAGTCTGAAAATATGATTTGGTAATAGTCAAGAGTCGAAGCATCGTCTGAATGAGTGCCAGGATGTAGTTGTTCTCTGCAGAGTATTTAATTCTAACAAGCCGTGCTGATTTGATAATTAGGGATTCTATTGTAATCACTGTTAGGTGTGTATGGGTGCATGGTATTACGTTATTATTATCATGATTAATCATAATACCAGGAATATATTATCATTATGTCTAAATTTATTACATTTTGATTACCTGTAATTGCACCAAGATTTTGAATATACAGACTATGAGAATGAGGGCTGAGGAATGTAACCATTTTAAAATCCTGTTTCTTAAAAAAAAAAAAAGATACAAACAATATTTGCAATTGTCATGTCATTCAAGAGCATAAGAAAGTTGACTACCCCATAGAAAATACTTCTGACTTTGAAGGTTGTGCCATAGTTAAACACCCAGACAAAGCCACAAAACAGTGTCTGTCTCACAGAGAAGCTGCTGTAGAGAGAGCTTTGACACACAGTCTCTTGAAATCAGTTATTCATCTGCAGAGAATATTTGATGTTGATTTTAATAAGGCGGCGAGGTGAGGCAACACTAAGAGCAGAAGTGTACAAAGCTCCATGCAGCTCGATGAGCTTGCAGCCGCCAGCTGCCGAGCCATAGCCAGAGTTTGGGCCTTAATCTATAATTTAACATGGATTGAGTCTATTCTCCTCAGGGTCGATGATCAGGGGAGAACCGGATGGAGAGAGGAGGGAGAGCCTTCCAACCTCATTTCTGATACTGGGTCCAGCTCTGCCACAGTCTTTGATCTCTCCCTACTTCTCTCTTGTTTTTTTCAATTTTATCTCGCTCACATACAGGAACTGAGTCTTTTATTCCTACTCATTCTGACATACTGTACAATCGGTACACGCTGACAAAAATGCAGATCACGTGTGAGAAAACAAACACCCTGAAGAGAATTGCCTTATGTTTAATATCCTATTCATACATCTCGTTTGCACCCTGAGTCATTTCTTTTCAGACAGCGTCTGAAAATAGACATCAAACAACACGCAGTAGCTGGTGAGAATGAGTTACACTGAGGACTTTAAATACTGTGCGAGTAAACATAATCACAGTAATGAGATCGCTGTTTGCTCCTGCTTTATAAATCTGTTGGAAATGTCCTATATCCATTTTTAGAAACTGGATTGCCCCGCAAATGTAATAGTGTGAATTGGACCATAAATATTAATACTCACTCCCCGTAGTAATTCTGATGTGCTAGAAATATTTTTGTTCGTCTCATGATCATTTATTTCATAGTGTGCATTTATTTTTCATAATACATCACTACTGGAACTTTTTTAAAATGTGGAATACAACAGAGGGTGCTGGCATGCATCAGTCTGATGGCTCAACAATGACATATTGAACTATATTTCAGCAAAGTCTGAACACATGAAGGTTTATATGCAGCAAAACGGACAGTTAAGCAAAATCAGAGAATGTCTGACTCTTGAATGACTGTAAAATAATCCAGATAACTTTTCCATGTTTAAATCTCTGTTTAAATCTATCCTCACTTGAGACATGTTGTTGAAATACACACTGAACGTGGTTTGGAATGGCCTTGCTGAAACATATGGGCTTTCGTTGAAAAAGATCTTGTCGTGATGTTAGGATACTAGCAAAAGAATTGTTGGGCATTATGGTTCCTTCACAGATTTTGAGCTTATGCATACCATGATATTGGCAAAGCAGTAAAGGACACTGGCTTTTGAACTGCGTGCTGACAGGCCAGATGGACTGTCCCTGGTGAGGTGATCACCATCATAGGTGAGCCTGTTTCTGTGTCTAGCCTTTTCTACTTTTTGAAAAATGCTTTTTTTGTTTAGAATGAACCAACAAAGTGTTTTGACCAGTGTGGATTCTTACATGCAGAGATTTAATTTTCATCTTCTTATAATTGTGTTATGTTAAAGCAGTGCTGTCTGACTTAAGAGCTGACATGTTTCACATGATTCAATTAATTATTATTGGCTTTAGAAACCAGCAAAACAAGGTATTGAGATCTATTTAGAAATTTTTGATCATCGACTAAGCAACAATATTTTTATGTTCTTTTTTTCTGTTACATATATAAAAATTACCTAATTAAAGAGATGCCCTAAAGTATGTAAACTGATTCTCTGTGTAATCTAATTTGCGTGCCTAACGGGTCACTGACCAGGTTATTGGTCAGATAAGGAGACCAAACTGTCTGGTCTTTAGAAAAACACATGTTCATTAAGAGATTAGGCTTCAGAGGTTATACAAAGAAAACTGGTATCAGCAGTGCATTTAATAATAGCTTCCGAAACAAGGCAATGGTCCACCATACCAACACTGGACAGCAGATGGTGTTTTGCACAGCCAAGACTTAAGATAAAAGACACAAAAGACACAAAGGGGACGTTTTCCCAATGAAATGTGGTGAGCTTTAACTTAATGTTTTACTGAAGACAAATCTGTTCTTCATTTCTAAGTGCTGAGAAGCATCCACAATGATCTCAAAACCAGGCCTTTGAACCTTTACAGCAGCCCATAATTTCATTCTCTTTCTGACTTTGGGTCATCAGATAAGTTGTCCAGAACAGATGCACATGGCTGATTATCCTGACAGATACATTGAAGTGTTCTGTGCCATTTAACACCAGATACAGCCACATATTCATTCAGCCGTCTCAGCTTGGATGGAGGTTGTAAAGAATGAAACATGCCCGACAAAAATCTGACAAAGAAGAAGATATATTTCCCCCTGATGTCTGCTTTCAACTGACCAGCTGATTGAGAATCCAACAAGAACAGATCTACAGACACTCATTTGTGTGGAACGGGCCCATGTTGAATCACATAGCTGCAGAGGGCTGTTTGTATCATGTCGTATGGTCATCGAGTCTCAGGGTGAAACGTGTCTTATTTTAAGCAATGACATGATGCAACACAGTCTCAGTGGAGATTGGTGACTGTTTTATCTTTGCCATATTTCAAACAGTCTTGTCTATGTGTCTGTCACAATCAAAGCATCTGTAGTGTTACGACAAGGAGATAAATAATTGATACACGCTGAAATCTCTCTGTCTATGTAGTAGATTCAGAAAGCACTCGTGAAACTGGTGAAGAAAGAAATATTACAGTAGTTTTTAGTGTATTCACATTAAAGTGCAGAACGCAGCAGGTTTTGTGAACTGGTCAGATTGGAAACTAAATAGAAAACTATTAAAGACAAAAGCATGTCCCTTTTTTTTTCTTTTTTTTTTACCGTGCCAAAACCCTAACCCATTTTTCTCAGCAAAATTGTGCAGAAGTGTAGAAAGTTATATTCTGGAAGTCTCTTCTTTGTATGTCGCTTTACTTTGGCTTTTTCAGCATTATCATTCAGATAATGCAATTGTAATTTATTGTAATTCATGTAACAATCGTAATTGACCAACAATATTACATTATCCAGCAACAAAATATCAACTGCTGACCAAAATATGCAGACAAACATCTTGTGAATAGGCATTAAATTGAATTGTTCTGTTTCCATTGTTAGATCATACTGAGAGATCTAACAAAAGGACTACTCCTTCACTCATAACATTTTCTGGTTTAATTAAATAAATCAAAGTTTCTCAAAGCTGTCTTTGTGGGAAATTAAAATGAATTACATATTGCATTTAAAGAAATGCTTAGGTGTGAGTAAATTCTATATTTTCCTTTTTCTTCTGCTGTGCTGCCATGTCACCATTTGCTCAGTTTTGCCTCCCTCAAGTGGTGAACAAGAACACAGCTTTTTATTTTTCTTCGGACCAATTGTGTTTGACTGTGTTATTACTAAAAACACAGAGAACTGATTGAAGTCAATGGGGGATTGAAAATAATTCCCTTGCAAGAAAGTTGTGAGAGTTTAAAAGCTTATCAAGGCACCTCAACACAGCTAAACAGCAAAGTTCATGCACCATAAATTAGACAACAACAACTGGCTCTTTGGAGAGAGAAGGCGGAGCATTTGCTCTTGACCAATACCATGGATTTGAGCAGTAAAACAGATGAATAAACAGTGGAGGAGGTACCGAGAGTATCCTCCCATGTCCCGCTGACAGCTGGGCCCGCCCCTACCCGATGACAGACCATAGCTGGATTCCTTCAATGAAAAGCCCTTTGATAGTTGGCAGGGACTCCTCTGGTTCACTTGAATGGCTGTCAGCTCTGTCGGGGTGATGGACGGGCAGCTGTTTCACCCCTGATGGAAACAAGCCCCCTCCACCAACCATCGCAGAGTAAGACCTCTGCCAGTCATTTTTTCTAATGTCTGACTTCACCCAAACATATGACAGCAAGAACAAGAGTGTCGTTATTATTTGCTTTTCATTCCAATTGAAACAGTTTTTGACAGCATACATATACATTCAACAAGGAGGAAACAAACAAAAAAGAAGGAGAAAAAAG